TAAACCCAACAATAAACAACACCAATTCATACCAAAGGAGAACAAAAACCCTAATACTCGAACCAAAGACGACAAGTAGGCCCTGCAATACTGCGATTGAACATGGGCACATGAAACTTGTGGCCTTCAGGATATTCGACATTTTTATTGTAATAACTGTTCCTAAGATAGTTCCTGTTCGAATAAAAGTTATTTTTGAAGCAACTAATGTTCTTTATTACGAATATAATTTTCAAAACCACTACTGTCCTCTTCAAAACCTTCACTGTCCGTTTTAATACATCGATGTTTTGAAATGGACGAAAGCAACTTTTATCGAATTTGAATATTACTCAGACCATGAAATTGCCTGAATATTTTTTTCAGTTTATTTTACAAACATATTGATGGAACTTTCCGCTCATGCAGTTTTGAATAATTTAATGGTCTATAAAATTTTGATTCCGGTGTTTTTCTTGAAGCGTCCACTTTATAGCGGTTCTCCCCTACACTGCGACTTAGAAGATCTATTTTGTGCTCCCTTATTTTGCTACAGCCGATGAGGTTGTTCTCCGTAGCTATAGAAATTTTTTTAGTCCTCTATCTCTCGAGAATTTAAGGATATGAGATGGTTCTAAGTAGGATAGCTCCTCCTCCCCTATAATGTGTCCTCCTAGGTTTCTGGCCCTCGGGCTCTTTAGGGTGACTACACTGCTACACACTACACCTCGGATATCGGAAACGTCCCCAGAACGTCCATTTTAGGTACGGCTTACGTTTTCAGGACGTTTCGGAGACATAGGATGTTACACAACCAGAGGTCCCCAGGACGTACGATAAAGGTCCTGTTCAGGTCTGAACGGGACCATTAATACCTAAATCAACGTAGATACACTTTTTTCACTCAGATAGTTGAAATCTCGATTTTTCACACCCTATATCTTAATAATTATCCTAGGCCCCAAGCATGATGAGTCGTTGAAATCAACCCTTCAGGAAGAATCTCAAAATGCAAAAAATTATAGGGTTTTTTATTGAAAAAAGTATAAGTTCAGTGTATTGTGACTTTTTGGGAACACCCTGTATGTTTGAAATAATTTCAAATGGTAGCCTATGTTGACATGCAACTTCCTAGAGAGGAAGAATTCCCAGAAGATGAGTGGTTAGCCTTCTAGAGACCGAGGCGTTACTGGTGGCAGGTATCAGGGTATATGCTTTCCATCTTATGTGGTTATATGTACCCAGTTGTACCCCAACCTGTTTAGGATTTTGACATTTTTCCAGATGTCTAATCTCTGTTCAGCTTCTCATATTCTGATTTCTTCTGATACTGATCCCGCAGAAAAGTTCCGGTCACACAAAGGGTGTTTGAATTCCTTTCCTAGCGAGTTTGTCCGCTACTTCAATTCTTTCTACTCCGGAATGTCCCGGAACTCATACAAGGGCATTCCCAAACCATTTAGGACGTGATGACCGTAACGCTCAGCGCTTTGATGGCAGCTTGACTATCGGACATGATAATAATATCTCTTCTTTCATAGCTTTTTTCTTGATTGAACTTCACACATTTCCATATAGCGAGAACATCCGCCTGGAATACGCTTGGAAATTTGCCAAGGCTTTCGAAGTACTTGGTACGAGGCCCGTAGGTTTCTATTTCAGTTCGATCTTCGGTTTTGGAATCATCTGTGTGCCTCCTTCTTTGAGCTAAATATCCATGGATTCAGTGTTTCATGTTTTTTTGTAGATCTGCCTAATCTGCCTTGTGGTGAATCGTTTCTGATTGCACCGGTGAAGCATTCAGAGGCTAATCTCTGAAATTACTACCATCTAGCCATAGCAACAAGACGAGGTAATATTTCCGCCTGGCTCGCTATAGTCGCTGGCAAAAGGAACATACAGCGAAAAAATAATAAAATTTACTATTGTGAAATGTTACATAGAATAACATACATGCATCCATCGAGGCCCACCCCGATATTCACTCCATTTTCCATCGAAGAAAAAAAAACAATATGGGGAAGTTGAAGCCGTAATAAGGCCTTTTAGTGGTTCTTATCAGAAGTTTTGCATGGTTATCCCTAAAATCACGACAATCCACAAATAACTTCATTCAAATTGGAATATAATATAAATTATGTTATCAAAATAAAACAATGTTTGTGTGAACGGTTCTACAGATGTTATGTTAGCCATGAATGAGGATGTAATTGATAGTTTTATCTGGCATCATTATCGATCAAGGTTCATGTAGTGCTATGATATGACTTGATTTTTCTAAAGCATTCGATACCATTAGTCATGAACTGCTTTGTGCCAAATTGAGAGGTTATGGCTTCAATGATAAATCAGTTTTTTTTAATATGGAACTACTTCCTCAGACGTTCCCAGAAAATTTTGTTTGATGGTTCTTACTCTTCTGAACTTGACATTCTTTCAGGTGTCCCGCAAGGGTCTATACTGGATTCTTCACTTTTCAAATGAAATAGAACAATGTAAAGTACATCAGGCTTTTGCTGATGATACTAAGCTGTATCTTAACTTTCGTACTGAAGATTTCGAATTTGCAGGAGAAATCATGAACAATGGATTGAAAAGAATCAAGACATCTTTATGGTACCTACTCTATTACGGTAGAAAAAATGACAATCAATCTGAAAAGTCCTGAAACTTCCACATCTTATGCGCTGGCCAGAAATTATGGTAACTATCAGAAGTGCAGTCAGCTTGTTTTTCACTTCTCTGAACCAAATAATACGTATTTAACACTGGATCTGGTTAGCTCCAGTCCAGTTTCATAAAGACCGTGCGGTCTTCTTTCGCGATCCAATATTTTCTGCATTGGTTTGGTTACGGTGGACGACGTCAACTTTTCAACTTCTCGTTTTCCTCGTTTTTATGTTCCAAAATATCGTGGATTTCAATAATTGGAATGTACAGAGCTCTGAGGAGAAAACGGTTTGTGATCATGAACTAGTTTGGGTTAATACTTCAGAATGATTAAATAACATTTTACACTGGAACAGACCCATTCGTTCGGCTCAGGCGGCGAGGTCTGTATAAACCATTATATGAAGTGTAATTTTCCACAGCAACAAGTAAGTAATTGGAGGGCAAAGGAACAGAACATCGATCTTTATAAATCCTACAGTCTAGAACAATTCGTTCCTCAATTTATATGAAAATGGGCAAGCGATTAAATGACAAACGCATGCAATTTATAATGGAATATGTGCCTTCATATTTCCATCACACCGTGTTTCTCTGAATCCTCAGAGCGATTTTTGAAGATATGAGACAAATTAACAAGCGGGTGAAAGGCGGATTTCTGGCATGCACTATTTTAATGATGCTTATATCCGTACTGTAGTCTTCAATTTATTGAAGGACATTTCAACCCACTGTACTCAAAAGCTTCTAGTATCTCTCACATGATTTGCGATGGAAAAATCTAGGCCAGCATATTAGATATACTTGCACGATTAGGTTGAATATACATATATATGATATATGAGAGGGTAATCGTTACTGACTAGTCGTTGATGTCGATCAGAGGTAAAACTAGGTTTATCGCGGAATGCAGGAAAGTGAAAACAGTACTCTTCAAAGTTTATCCTAGCTTTCGGAATATTATATTTTCCTCATCAGGGAACTACAACAATGTTTTAGTAATGATAAATTGTATGAGACGATAATAACATAGTTATGAGAAAATAAACAATAAAATTGCAACTACCACTGATTGGTGCCAAATGAAATGTCAAAATAAGAATTAAAGTATTCATTGTTTGTTGTTCATTTCGTGTGTCATGCAAAGCCTACTAAGCAATTGTAGGTACGATACATTCGAATGACCATCTAAACTCTCTGTTATTTTTGGCATATAAGTCGACATCAACAGAGTTTTAGTAAAACATAGGTAGGGCCAAAAAGTTCTCAAATTGAAGAGATATTCTGAATCGATGTCTCAACGAAAGCAGAGGCGACACGCGAAAAAGTTCTACAGGGTTAAATTGGGTACGACCCGCAAAATTCTATCACCTTGTAGGTATTCAAAAACGCTCATCAGCTCCAAATATTGAGTTTCCAGAGTGTATTACGTGTACCAAATTTCAATGAATTTTTTCGGAAATTGTAGGATAAAACTTAAAAAAACACAAAAAAAAATCTGAAACTTTGACACCCTGTAAATCGGAAACGCTCCCACGCATATATGTTTATGTTAGATTTTCATCTCAAAATAATGTTTTCTACAAGCTGTTGAAGTCCTGCTACAAAAAACTGAAACACCCTGTATAAAAATTATATAAGCATATAATTTTCACGAAAAGTTTTTTATAGGGTCTCAACCCAATTGAGGAGGGAGAATATGTGGTGCAATAACCACACATATCACCTGGGGTTGTATAGAGTATTTCGACTTTTAGATTGTATTCTTGGTTTTATCAATGATAAATATACGTACCTCATGCATCTGATGTCAACTCAGTTATAAATATGGCATCTCGAAAAATATATACGATAAAAATCGCGTCTTGTCTCTATACAGCAATGACCTATACTATGGACTACTCAGATCGACAGAGTATATTCATTTGCAAAGTACCCTACATAGTCAACTGAAATTAGTCAAAAACAATGCCAAACTGCAGAATAATTCATACAAAAGTTTTTAGTGTGTTTTCAGGTATATATTGGTATCCTGAATAGCTCCTCAAAAGTCCCCTACGATATCGTATATGCTCAAGAATTGGCAATACTCAGAAAAAGCGTTTTTTAGCATCTTCAGAGGGTTGCCAATTGAAGTGCGTACACTCTTTCGTATAGGGGTATTTTTATAGTAGCTATTAAAGATATACCCGAAAACGCACCGAAACCATTTGTATGAATTATTCCGTATCAGAATCCTAATTTCAGTGTTATCTTTGCTCAACATTGTCATTTAGTCAATACAGAAATTACTAACTATATCTGATGGTATTCAATTGCTACATAATTTTGACAATTTTTCTCTATTCATTACAGATGATGAAAATGATGAGTTCACTTTCCATATATCGAGATACCGCCCTGAAGAACTCCACAAACTAGCTTCGAAAACGAAATTTACCAGAAAAGAAATCCAGTTGATGTACAGGGGATTCAAACAGGTGAGTATTGGAGTACTATATGAGTGTAATTTGATTGATGTCTAAAATATGGGATATGGTTCCTTAGCTCATTTTAAAAAGAAGAGTTCATATGAACATAATAATGCCCTACTCTTACCATTCGAGCTATAGGTTGTTAAAATTCTATTTTCTCTTCACAATCAATTGGAGAAACTTTCACAATGTAAAGAAAGAACTGCCACGTTTATGAATACTTGTCAAAATGAGACCGAAACATAAGCGATCAAATGTCATTGTCTTAAATACAAAATAGAGCAAGCCTACTAGTTCAAAATAATCTTGTTATACCACAAATGAATGAAAATGGCTTTTTTTTTTAAGCGAGAACGGTGCGTCGGACGAAAAAATTCCGATGGTCAAATTCTTGCTATAATAACCTAGGATTTCGAAAATGATTCTTATTTCCGGAAAAAAACAAGTGCGTACAATAGTTTTCAAGAACAATCTCCAGTATACATCACACACGAACGCCACGAACTATCAAACAATAAACTGCATCAAATAATGCCTATTGATTGGCAGTAGGTGCATGTCAACTTTCATGGGAATATCTATAGAACAGTATTGAAGTTATGTTCATATGAACTTCTCTTCCTAAAAAGAGCTAAGAAACCATATTCTATACAGGGTGTTAACAAATAAGTGTCACAACGGAAAACTGTAGATTCCTCATAATAAAAGAAACATTTCTTCCCTCTTCAAAATTTTTCTCCGGGCTTCCGTTTTCAAGATACAGGGCGTCATAAAACCAAAAATGTTCAGTTTAATTCAACACACTTTACAACACTAAATAAACTTAACAATTCGAAAACCAGCATCGAGGCCAGCATACTCAAGAACATGACATTTGATTGAACATATTATTAGACAGATCTGAGGTGTTTATTTCCAGTGGATTTTTAGACAATTTTTGCAGATACCATCAGGATTTTATGTTCTTATTCCAAAAGAGCCATTTTTCGCGGAAAATGTTCACTTTAGAGCATCGAGACAAGAGGACGCTCTTTGTGTGAAAGATATTGGCGCTTCAGAATCTACTTTGAAAATTACAATTCCTCCAGTGGCATAAATGTTTGGGGGGTTAAACCCTTACGAGGCGTTGAATTCTCCTCCACTGACATGTCCAAGAAAATTCATCAAGAGCCCTAAAAGTAGTCATTATTGATGATGAAGTGTGTGCGAAGGCTTAACTCCGTAGCTCAGACGGTTCCTGTTCCGCTCTGTATCTTGATAACGGAAGCCCAGAGAAAAATTTCGATAGGGAAAAAAATGTTTCTTTTTTCATGAGCAATCTACAGTTTTCCGTTGTGACACTCATTTGTTAACACCCTGTATATTTAGCCATCAATTAAATCACACCCGTTATAATAACAACGCTGCAATCTGAGTGAATATATAGGGTAAACCAAAGCACTGCGAGCACCTGAAGTATCATCAGTAAACGCAGTTCACACTCTTCGAAGATGAGTAAGATTGAGAGAAATCACAAAACTGTAATCGTACCATTTGGAAACATTCAATTAAAATTACGAGCACCATGTATGTATGTACATTTCGGATCTTTTTGTACGAATAATTATAACCTTCATACTAATCAGCACTTAACTTTCATTCGAGTATATTCGATGGAATTGTGGAAACTTTCAGAAATCATTCAATTTCTCGAGAACTTCTCCACAGAATTATCAATAGCGACATGAAATATACTGAAAGTTGGCCGTAGAGTCTCATTATGCCGTGGAATACACTCTTGTGAAATACTGAAGCATTTTCTTAAATAGTCCATGCTGCTGTGCAATGATTATCAGGAAAGTGAACTCATGATGTTTAATTTCACAAATCGTCGTGAAGCGTAAATCCTGCCTCATAATGGTTGCTTAAACATTGGATGATCGAAATCAACCTTCTTTATGGAGCAGATTCAACTGCTTACTTCCAAATTAATCTTGTAAGACGACTTCGAGAGTCGGAAAACATTTTACAATATTTCAGATGAAGAGCTTCTCATCCATCGGCAATACCTTCAATTTCTAGAAAATTTCGACAAATCAATATTCGAACGTGGCTTACCAACGAGTTCCATGAACCAGCCTGTCAATAATTGAAACAATGTTAATGTTCAATCATAATCTGAAAATAATTCGATCAGTGCAGAAATAATATATACAGGGTGTTCAAGAAGTGCGACAAACTCGTGATATCTCAGGAAATGAAGGAAGTTCATACAAACATGTGTCCTAACTTGCTTCGTTTTTGATTTACAGGATGTTGAAGTTGGAAGTATCAATTGTTTTAATTCATAACACCCCAGTATAAGCTTTCATGGTGCCAAAATTTAGGATGGTTGGAGACTGAACAAGTCCAGAATTTCAAAATGATTCTCATTGAGGTTATTGAGTTATCTCAATGAATGTTACGAGAGCACCTACATTTAAATTTGGAGTCGAATCGAATTTTTATAGTTTCCTCAAATACTGAGCAAGATTAAAAAAACACACAGAGGATAAGAAATTTGTTATTTCAATTCAATTTTTCAGTCTAATAAAGCTATGAAAAACCAGTGGCGTACAATGATACCGTAAATATCGATGAATTAACCCACTGTGGCGCCACTGAAATTATTATTGTGAATTTAATTACATCAAAAGAAGCGCCATGTTACAATCAACGAAACTTCCAAGTTTCATTGAAATTGTTGAAAAGATATTTGAGTAATGATTGAAAAAACGATTTTACATGGAAATGTTAATACCCTGTATTTCGAAAACAAAGCCAGTTAGGACACATGTTTATATAAACTTTATTTTCTGAACTATCACAAGGAATCACACCCTGAACTTTGTCGCACTTATTCACTAACACCCTGTATATCAATAGACAGTTGAGACTATGCTATTGAAACACTTCACACAGGTGTTCAATAATGTATCTAAATATTCGACCGAGTGTAAACGAATCAATTCGACAAGTCATTCCATAACTTCTAGAATACTCGATGTATCAACATGATATTTGAAGAAATGTGCAGAGGAACGTTTTCGCATATTTTTCAGTTTCGGTCACGGAAATTGCGCCGGTTTTCAATTTTCAAATGGAGTTTCCACGACTACTTAAATTTTTCAAAGTTTAATATTCCATCTAGGTGGCCATGATCGGACGCAAGCAAACTCATTCAAGGACCTCACGTCATTTCAGAAAATTATCAACGCGAAATTTTAGTGAGTATTATTTTTCCAATGGTAACCATTTTTGACTAGAACTTTCCGGAAGACGGTTCTTGTGACAAATCTAACGATACTAATTCATTTGCGATAGGATAAAAAATAAGAGCATGAAATAACTCATTATTACTAAGGAGAATACTGGATATTTATTTATTCACATTTGCCAGAGATTACTCTTGTCAAGTGTGCCATAGATAGCCATGATGCTTTATATTTTTCTGATATTTTTTTCGAGTCTTTTCTGACAACAAAACACTCAGGTATCCACTTTCCACTTTGATTATAGAGTACTTTGAAATTGAACTACAATTCAACGAATATAAATAAAAACTTTAACTGTCTGCTCATAAGTTTTATGGGCACTGTCATTTCCTGAGTGTGTATACTTGTATGAACTCTGATCTTGAAGAGATTGTAACTTCCAAAAAAATCATTCGTATCAGTGATATGGGAATTATATTATACTCGAATTGAGTCATATAATATGTTTGTGAAAGATATAATTCCCATATCACTGATATGAATGATTTTTTTTGGAAGATCCAAGCTCATGAAGATCAGAGTTCATATCAAGTCTTGCTTCTAACGAATCATATGTTTTATTATTTTCATCAAATTTGACGATCAGCATTTCGCACAATTCTTCAAGTCTATCTTCTTCGTAAAGATAGTATTCGAAACATCATTTGGTATGATTCTTGATGAAATCTCTGAAAGAATGCTCCTGTAGTCGGCTTTGTGGAATTGGTCCTTATGAGTTTTTTTGATGTACTCTGTTTCTAATCCGAAAATTCCATCAAATTACTAAGATGGATGTTGAAATGTCTTAAAGTTTGTATGATCTTGCCTTCGCTCAACTGCTCTATAATATCACGTCAGAGTCACCAAATTGTGGATACAATTGACACAAATTATGAGACTGTGAGTTGTCAATATATTATAAAAATGTCACATCAATGTCAGACTATCAAATCATAATATACCAAGTATATAACATGACTAGTCACCATAAGTATACTCTGGTCAGTTCACTTTGTGAATCTTCTGTTCGGTTCGTATGGACTGGATGGTTCCTCCGATTGAGTGGCAAGTATCAAATACTGCTTCTCTGATCTGCAACAAAACATCACATATCAATCAAAGTACATTCATATCAGAAAATAAATATCATTAGATGAATTACATCTTTGCGGATCTTCTGTTTCGTCTTGACTGGGTGGTTTTCTCCGATTGAGTGGCAAGTATCAAACACTGCTTTTCGGATCTGCAACGGAACATCACATATTATTCGAAGTACATTCAAATCAGAAAATAAATATCATTAGATGAAGTACATGGATGTTGAATCCGAGACATACCTGAATGATATTTTCATCGTCTGTAACTGGATTGCTACATATCCGCTTTCTTTCCGAATAGTGGTTTCTCCAGTAGGCATCTTACACATTCTCAATTACGTGGGTTATATTAAGGACCTTGAAGGCAAAACAATGTGCTGCTCGGATCTAAAACTGAGGATCAATTTCAAATTTGAATCGTGAGACCAACATAGAATATGAATCTATGAAAGGTCTGGATATTGTTTTCGACATTCGTAACTAAAACGCGATATATTTTTGTAATTCATCAATTCATCAACTTTCTCAATGAAGACGAGGCAGGCAGATAAACAACAACTTTCTCTGCAATGGAGAACACTGTATATACCTACCCACCATGCGCCTACCTCCTTTTCAGAGAGGGTTTATAAACGCT